TTTTTTTTTTTTTTATTCTGGGATTTATTTACCTTCTATAATTGAAACTTTGTTGCCGCTCCAGCTCCGAGGCCACAGCCTGCTGAAAGCAGGTATCTGGGGTTTGTTTAGCTTCTATAATTGCAACTTTGTTGCTTAGAGTGGAGCTCAGAGCCCCTTGGCAGCAGGGAGGAAGGTTGGCTTCCTCCATCACTGGAGCAAGCAAGCCTCCTGCTGGCTTCAGCTGCATGGTTGCCGGCCGCCATCTTTGTTGGCCGTTAATTTGCATATCTCGCTGATTAGCCAATGGGAAGCGTAGCAGAGGTATGGTTAATTTCAATCTTTGTCTATTATTAGATAGGATTTTTTAAATCTGAGATTATGACATTCCTGACACACCTGAGTGTGTGGAATATCATCCATATTCCCTGGGTTTTCAATGACACATATTCACACACTCGTTACAGAGAATTTGGGCAGATCTTTCTCACTCACCAACTAGAGGAAACCCAGAGGAAATTTAGGAGAGACAGACAGGCAGACAGGGAGACAGGCAGACAGGGAGGCGGGGAAACAGACAGGCAGAACACAGAGACCCACCTTTCTTGGCCGCCAGCCCCGTGTCCCTCACGCTGCTCACGTAGAGCCTCCGGACGCCGTCCTCCTCCACAGAGGAGAGGGAGAAGCCTGGGAGCAGAGACAGCGGGTCACCTGGGCGCCGAGCGCATGCGGGCTGGTCTGTCGGGGCTCCTGCGTGCGGTTTGGAGCCTCGGCGTTTCCCGCTCACCGTTCACGGAGCAGGAAAGTGCGTGTTCAGGTAACAGACGTCACTACCCACCAACACTAACCTCCCGGCCTCGCTCTGCACGCGGCTGCCAACTCCACTGGAGGCCAGGGTGTCGGTCCCGCCTGGCACGGCCACCCCCCGACCGCCACCCTCAGCCTCCTCCTCAGCACAGTCCTCGCTCCCCTCGGCTGGGTCTCACCCTCAGTGCGTCTCATCCCCGGAGGTCACAGGTGTGCACGCGACCCCACGTGCCGCCCGTGGACACTGCTCTCATTAAAACTCTGCAAAGAGCGTCCAGCAGCCACTCCCTCCAAATCCAACCTCACACGAACCCGGCTGGTCTCACACTCCACGTGAGCCTTCCCGTGGCCGGGGTCCTGAGCTCAGAGCCACTAGTGGCCAGTCCTGGGCGTGGCTGACCCGTCAGGAAAAAGGGCAGAACACGCCCCAAAACACTGCGTGCTGAGGGGCCTGGGGCTCCCAGTCCTGGCCACCTCCATGCTCATGTACATCCTCCCTGGCCAATGGGAGCCCAGGACACGCGCTTTCCCTCGGGTAGAACTGCAAAGGGGACCGCGTGGAACTAAGGCCACCGTGACGTGGACACAGCTCCAGCTCTGGGGGGGAACAACCGTCAGGCAGCGACCTGGCTGAGGGCCGGGCAGAGCACAGCGGCTCACACAACAGCCAAGTGACAAAACAGAACTGACGCGGGCCGGGCCCGGAGCGTCCCCGAGAGGGCGGGGCCGAGTCATAACCAGCATGTTTTGTTTTGTTCGCAGGTCCTGGAAACAGCGCCCACGCGGGCCACACAACCCACGGCCCCGCCCACGCGGGTATCGGGTGCCTCAGATGGAGAACGAGGATGTTCCAACGACCTCACTTTTAAAAAACACATGTTTTTATGGATTTGAGAGAGAAAGGGAGAGAGAGAGAAACATCGATCGGCTGCCTCCTGCACACCCCCTACTGGGGTTCCAGCCTGCAACCCGGGCCTGTGCCCTTGACCGGAATCGAGCGGTGACCTCTCGGTGCCTTTCAACCAACTGACCGCACCAGCCAGGGCGCAAAGATGTCATTTCATCCTCTTATCCTGAACTCCATTCTTACAGCAACTTCTAGCTTCCAGGTTATTTCTGTGTGGGGGGTGGGGGGCGGGGGGAGTGTCAAGAAGTCCCCCTCAAATAAAACTAATTTTATCTGCGAGTCAAACTAACCCAGGTGTCCCTGCCTGCCCCTCAGAGCAGAGCACGTCTCTCTCATCTGCTAGACCCCGTGCGGACGTCCTGGATGAATCACCCTCGTGGCCGCGCCCACACCCCGTGAGTGGGCCCTCGCCGTGCGGCGGCGAGTGTGAGGGTCGCCTCGGGGACCCCCCGGAACCTCAAGTTCCTCTGACCTGACCTGTGGGGGGAGGGGGTACTGCATGCTTTGCGGCGAGGAAGACGAACTCTCCTCAGGATCGGGGTGCATCCTAACAGAGCTATCCACTCCCAACACAGCCAGGTCCCTGCAGCAACAGCGCGCCCGGGGTTACGGCTGTGGGATGGGCAGCACGTGTCCTGGCCGCACGCGGAGATTCCTGTTTGTTTGTTGTTGTTGTCAATCCGCCCCCACCCGAGGGCATTTTCCATTGATTATTAGGGAGAGTGGAAGGGAGAGGGAGAGACAGAGAGAAACATCGATGTGAGAGAGACACATCGACTGGCTGCCTCCTGCACGCGCCCCAACCAGGCCAGGCCGGGGAGGAGCCTGCACCCGAGGTACGTGCCCTTGACCGGAATCGAACCCGGGACCCTGGGTCCACAGGCCGACGCTCTATCCACTGAGCCACACCGGCCAGGGCAGAGATTCCTCCTTTTCCTTGTGTGGCTGCCTTGCGGAGCCCAGAACCCAGACGGGCTGTGGCCTGACCCGGCCCCCAGGCATTTTACCCACGTTCACCGGGGAAGGGCTCCCACGAGGGAGTCACCGAAGACCGCGGGGATGCACGCACCGTAGCTGTCCCCGGCCGCGTCCGACTTCTCCACCTGCAGGCTCCGCGTGGCCTTGGGGCAGATCTCGATCTCCTGGTACAGCTGGAACGACAGGGGCCGTCAGGCCGTTAGCGATGGCGGTGCGGGGCTGCCTCACTTTGTAAATCTTTCTCCTGGCCACACCCGGGCGCGCTGAGCCCCTCCCACACCCAGGCGGCGACCGTCGCTCGCATGCCCGCCCTGAGCTGCGTTCCCATCAGAAACCCGCACGGGGAGCAATGACCCCTCGGGAGCCGCTGGGCGGGAGCGGGCATGGCAGGGCGCACGCCCCGGGGACAGAGCTGTGGCTCCAATGCCGAGCGCCGGCACCTCCCCACGTGACTGCCCAAGTCCCTCAGTAGGAACGAGTGAGCTCAGTAAACATCTAACAACGTGAAAGACCAGGGAGAGGCACCAGTCCTGCCGTGGGGTACGGAGACGGGAGGTCCCGGTGCTTCCGGTCCCTTCCCTGCACGTGCGAACCTGCCCCGAAGTTCATGGCAGGACAGACAGGTGGACGAATTACAGCACGAAACAGACAACAATTATACAGGGTGTCCCCCAAAGTGCACACCCCGCACAGCTGTGGAGGCCGCGCTGACTGAAACACACGGCACTCAGAACTGACCACGGCTGTCACGGCGCGGGCACGTGCTTGGGGGACACCCTGTCCACGTGGGGACACCCTCCTTCAGCCCCCGGATGACACCACCGAGACCCAGGAAACGCAGCGTGAACCTGAATCAGCTCTGCAGGGAGAGGGGAGCGGAGCTCACACGTCAGAAGCTTCTCCCGTGTCTGTCAATCATCGCACGGACAGTCACTCAAAGTTCTGCCCTCACCCTTGGTCTTCACTCACTCCCAGGTTCCTCGGGGCCCCCTTTCACAGCGGAGGGAGCACCCCTGCAGGACGGGGCCCCTTTCACAGCGGAGAGAGCACCCCTGCAGGACGGGGCCCCTTTCACAGCGGAGAGAGCACCCCTGCAGGACGGGGCCCCTTTCACAGCGGAGAGAGCACCCCTGCAGGACGGGGCCCCTTTCACAGCGGAGAGAGCACCCCTGCAGGACGGGGCCCCTTTCACAGCGGAGAGAGCACCCCTGCAGGACGGGGCCCCTTTCACAGCGGAGAGAGCACCCCTGCAGGACGGGGCCCCTTTCACAGCGGAGAGAGCACCCCTGCAGGACGGGGCCCCTTTCACAGCGGAGAGAGCACCCCTGCAGGACGGGGCCCCTTTCACAGCGGAGAGAGCACCCCTGCAGGACGGGGCCCCTTTCACAGCGGAGAGAGCACCCCTGCAGGACGGGGCCCCTTTCACAGCGGAGAGAGCACCCCTGCAGGACGGGGCCCCTTTCACAGCGGAGAGAGCACCCCTGCAGGACGGGGCCCCTTTAACAGTGAAGGGAGCACGCCTGCAGGATGGGGCCCTTTAATAGCGGAGGGAGCACCCCTGCAGGACGGGGGCCCTTTCACAGTGGAGGGAGCACCCCTGCAGGTGCGCAGGCCCACGGCCATGTCCACAATCCATGACAAAATCTCCGAACAAATCCATGTGCCAGAAGCTCAGAGAACGCGGCCAGTGGGGGTGGAAGAGGGCGCGGGGGATGATGGTGTTGGAAAAAAACAACAATAAAGTAACGGCGTTTCTAGATGCCAGTCGGCTGTGCAGGGCACTGAGCAGCAGCCTCAGGGCCGTCTCGGACAGCACGGTCACTCGTTTGGAAAGGACCGGATTCCGGCGAGGAGGGACGCCCGTTCCTCTCCGCCCTCTTTGTGGGGCACCTGACAGGCGGCGAGTGGAGAGCTGGGGGGAGGAACTGAACGCACAGCCGCTCGCTGGACACCCTAATTCAACGCACCTTCCCCCAAATGCAGTGTGAAGGGCACACCTCGATGGGGTTTTATTGTGATACAGATAAATTCTGAAATTCGAAAAAAATCTGTTATGATACTAATCTTCAGCTCAAAAACATGGTCACCAAAACTATAAATACCAAATATACGAAGTTTACGGCGCACTTCGTCACACCACTGAACGCCCACAAAAGGCTGGGCCTTCACCTTACTCTGGGCCTCGAGCCCGCTCTGCCCCTAGGGGGCAGCGTGTCGCCGTCGTTCCAATCACGGTTTTCCCACGGCCCAGTGGGCACCGTCCTGTCCCTCCCTGGTGGCCTCCTGCTTGGTACCTGGTTTGAGCCTGTGGGTACGTTTATCTCAGACGATTCGTTTAGGGCAGTGGTTCTCAACCTTCTGGCCCTTTAAATACAGCTCCTCATGTTGTGACCCAACCATAAGATTATTCTCGTTGCTACTTCATGACTGTAATGTTGCTACTGTTACGAATCGTAATGTAAATATCTGATGTGCAGGATGGTCTTAGGCGGCCCCTGTGAAAGGGTCGTTCGACCGCCAAAGGGGTCGCAACCCACAGGTTGAGAACCACTGGTTTAGAAGGACACAGGCCCGAGCCCCACTTCCTTAGACTAAACTCAGCGCAATCAAAAGCCCCGATAAACACAGGAACCACCCAGCAGGGCTGCTCCGCGGCCGCACCCACGGGCCGAACGCACTCGGCTGGCGACGGGCAGGAAGCGTGAGTTTCGGGCGTTAAGCGGGCGTCCACAGCGCTGACTGCACAGAACCCCACTCACTGCCGGCCACGCGCGTCCCCTCTCCCAGAGGGAGGCCCGGCTCCGGCTCTCGGCTCTGCTCTCCGAGGTGACCCACCCCCCCCCACGGGGACGCATCGCCAGGCGCACGTCCATGACCGCAGCCGTGGCCCCAGGAACGACTGACCAGAGGGGAGCGCAAACTCCAGGGCGGGGCCCCGGCTCCCACATTCCTCTCCTGGGACTGACCGCACCACGTGGCCACCAAGAAGGAAGCGTCAGTGCTGTTACCGTGACAACGTTCCCTGAGCACCTACTGTGTGAACCGTCACTTCCACTCTGACGGAACCCTAGAATAGCGTCCCCTCGTGTTCCTGCCAACGCCACCTCATTAGAGCCGAGAGAGACCCGGGTGTGGGAAAGACTGGGACAAAGAAACGCAGACACAGGTGACGGCCAGGATTGTCTAAACGTCACCACGAGGGGCTGGGACACAGGTGACGGCCGGATTGTCTAAACGTCACCACGAGGGGCTGGGACACAGGTGACGGCCGGATTGTCTAAACGTCACCACGAGAGGCTGGGACACAGGTGACGGCCGGATTTGTCTAAACGTCACCACGAGAGGCTGGGACACAGAAGTAAGCAGTGGCTCTTTCCCTCGACAGGATGCGGCTATGGGTTCCAGCGCGCAGGGAGAGTCACACAGAAATGGAGTCAGAGCCAGCGGGTCTGTCGCCAACTGAAAACCTCGCCTGGCGGGCTACAGGGAGAGCGGATCGCGTCCCCGCGGCTCTGGGCCGGCTGCGCCAGGGCACAGGCTCCCTGCATAGATGGGGGGGCACTGCACCCCGGGGAGAGGCTGGGACCCGCAGGGCCGTCCCAGGAGCCGCACTCCAAGTAAGCGGCAGCTCTTTCCCGCGACAGGACGCGGCCGTGGGTTCCAGCGCGCGGGGAGAGTCACACAGAAATGGAGTCAGAGCCAGCGGGCCTCAGTCGCCAACTGAAAACCTCGCCTGGCGGGCTACAGGGAGAGCGGATCGCGTCCCCGCGGCTCTGGGCCGGCTGCGCCAGGGCACAGGCTCCCTGCATAGATGGGGGGGCACTGCACCCCGGGGAGAGGCTGGGACCCGCAGGGCCGTCCCAGGAGCCGCACTCCATTCAGGTCAGAACCCGCTCCCCCTCCCCAGCCACCACCCGCACGGGCGCCCCTGGGATTTACGCCCCTGCAAGGAGGGCCCGGATGGCGGCGGCCTACCAGCTCGTACACGTCCTCCTCGGGCTGCGGCACGTAGACCTGCAGTCTGTTCTCCACGAGGAACCTCAGCCGCAGGTAGTGGGCAGCCGGGTCCAGCTGGTGCGTCTGCGCGGACGAAGGAGAAGGAGAGATGTTCAGTGGGAAAAGGGGGCGCGTTCCCCGGGACACGGCGTCCAGTCCCGGGATAAGTGTCCACCGTCCCAGAGGCTTTGCACCTACACCCGAACTTCAGCGCCTTCTCACTGAACACAGGCCGCGCCCCGTGGGCACCTGGCGATGCACTCGGCCGACCTGAGCCAGGTCAGCCTTTAACTCGGGATTTGCAACAAAACCCATCAGACCAGAGGCCACGCACGGGAAGGGGCACCGGCAACGCCTTCAACAGTAAAGACAAGTTTAAAGACCCACCGTCAGAGCAACGAGGCCGCAACATAATTCCACACACACAGAGGCAGCGGAGGGGAGTGTGGGGAAAGCCTGACGCAGGGACAGCGAGGGAGGCTGCGCCCGGCACGTGGGTTTCACACGAGGGGGCGGGACCATGTCAGCAGCTCATCTACAAGCGAGTCCCAGTGAGGACGACGCTCGGATTTTGGTGATTTACAGAGTCCCACGCGAGCTCCCAGCGTGCGGCTTCGGAAACACGCGGGACGACTCGCCCAGAGGAACAATCGGGAAAAGCCGGGGATTCGGCTCCCAGGCCTCCTCCGGGCCCAGACCAGCCGGCGGGCTTCCTGTGTCTAAAAACTCATCTTCGGACGAAGGTTGCAGAAAAAGCAAGAGCGGCGACATGGTTTCATACACAACCCGCATGTGCATTCAAGATGGGGGGCCAGCCCGTGTGGCTCAGGGGTTGAGGGTCGACCTAAGAACCAGGAGGTGACGGTTCGATTCCTGGTCAGGGCACTCATGTGCATTCGAGAAGATGGGGGGCCGGCCCGCGTGGCTCAGGGGTCGAGGGTTGACCTAAGAACCAGGAGGTGACGGTTCGATTCCCGGTCAGGGCACAGGCCCAGGCTGAGGGCTCAATCCCCAGTGGGGGGCGTGCAGGAGGCAGCCGATCCATGATTCTTTCTCATCACTGATGTTTCTCTCTCTCTCTCTCTCTCTCTCTCCCTTCCTCTCTGAAATCGACACAAGTATTTTTTTTTTAAAAAAAGTAGAAGGGAAAAGAGAGGACAGTGCTCTTCAGCACACAGTGCATCGTGGGCAGGAAATGCTTCAATGGACTCATTTTTTAAAAACATCCTTATATTTTGGAGACTCATCCCAAGTGCACGGTAGATAAAGAGACTCATTTTTTTAAAAACATCCTTATACAGTGGGGCCTTGACTTACGAGTTTAATTCGTTCCAAGACCGAGCTCGTTAAGGAGCTCGTTAACTCAAATTACTCTATCACCTCAATGCAAAAAATCGGCCAAGAGACAGCTGGTATCTCAAAAAACTCGTTAGTCGGGACACTTGTAAGTCAAGGCCCCACTGTATTTTGGAGACTCATCCCAAGTGCACGGTAGATAAAGATAACAGCCTGGGATTTGCTTCCAGAATAACCCAGAGCTGGGGGTGGGAGTGAGTAAAGGAAACAGAATTTGATCATTACAGACCCCAGTGACGGGGACCCCAGCGTTCATGACATCAGTCTCTGCTTCTATAGACGTGTAAAGTTTTCACAAATAAAGGGCTCTTCCCCCCAAAAGCTCTGCTGATGACAGTTATTTCCACCTGTGTGAAGTTCATCTTCCACGTGTTTATACTCTTTTTACTTCTCCTGCCCTCCCCCCCCAATAAGTTTTTAAGGCCAAACTAAGAACATCCCGACAGTTTCCGTAACGGTCACGAATCACAGGGAAAAACTCTCAGGTGTGCAGACACCGTGAACCACCACGTGCGA